TTAGAGATGCCTGAAAATATTTTTTCAGAATCTATGGAGTCAAAAAGAAGCCTTGGTTGGCTCAATTACTTGCTGGAGAAATGCACTAGTTTAATCACTTTAATGATGTTTTTGTGAATAAATTCAGTGAAACATGGCTGCGTTAAAATATTTTTTGTGGAATCACTCTACTTGCAGCTTCCCCTCCACGTATACTGCTTGCTAGAAAAAAAAAACAGTTCAATAACAATTAGTTAAAAGGTTTTGATTTGATAAGCTAATGAAGCACTCATTTGTTGCAGTCAAAACTTTGGTAGAGTTTATCACAAAGGATTTTCTTCAATATTTAATTTTTTTTCTAATTAGCTCAAGGTGCCACAAGCGATTGAGAAAACGTAACTGGAGTGCGAATTTTTGCAGTATTCCCACTAAAGTGTGTTATTTGGCTATAGTTTCACTGATAAGCACGGATGAAGATGAAATTGCTTACAAAGATTCAGGATTAATCACTCAGTGAAAACAAGATAAAATTTAGGTTTAACACATGCTTCTATACAATACCTACAAATCCAAGGACCATTAAGAAAGGCAGCTTATAGTTTCCCGGTTTATTCACTCTAATTTCATATCAAGTTGATTCTTTTAGGAATACAACAGATTAAGGTCATCATGAAGTTATTAGAATGTTTACTTTCTCAACCGTTGTTGTTCTTTGGAATCTTTAGCTTAAAAACACCGCTACTCAGTAAGCTTCTTACTTTATCAAACTCTTTTCAACGTATTGCGCTAAATCGCTCTATTCTCGAGAATGCTTTGATTCTAAATTGTAAAACGAATGGATAGGTTATAAGGTGAAAGGCAATAAAACTATTATCAATTTTTTTACTGGTAAAATCAAGAGAGCATGGTTCAACTATATGAATAATGATTAAATAATTTTTTATTTTATCCTTATGGCTTGAAGAAATTTTTGAACAGGTACAAATCTGTTGAAAACACAAATTTTTAAAGTTTTCCGCATCAAATGTTCAAAAAGCCGTTTTGAGTGAGGAGGCTGCTGATGTGCTTACATTTTTCCGCAAAAACTTATTTGAAACCACCATTTTGAAACAAACATTTTAAAACTGTATATGAGTAGTTCTTTTAACCTCTTTTCAAGTTCCATCTTAGTTTGTTAACCTACAAAATAGCTAGGCAAGCAAACTGTTTGAGCAAAATTGCATGTCACAGAATTGTCAGTTTTTGAATAATGTAAAGTATTTAGATCGATTGAAGCCACAGTTATTTCTTTACTTCCTAAGGCCTTATAACATTCCTGTTTCAGAAAAATGGAGCTTAACAGTCAACTGTGGTTCTGCACGCTGCTGGAACTTATTTTTTTATCCAACTATGACGTGTCTTCGTCACGGGAGAACAAACACGAACGTAAGCAAATATAATGGATAAACTAGAGGAATGTTCTTTAAATGATTCGGGGTTGTTGCTGTTTTCTATTTGCCTTTTACTTCATCAGCAAGACAAGGAAAAATCTGAATAGACAGGAGAAATTAGAATTAGCTTTTTTTTTTTTAAAAAAAAACTATGTTTCTCAGAATCCTAGAATTTTGGCTTGTTAAAAGAACTAGATCGTAAAAGTATAATCAGTTTTCATAAGTTTTTTTTAATTCTTAGATATCCATAGCATAACAAGGTGATCAGCAGTGAGTATGTGACTATTTGCTGAAATCCCGCCTTTTTCCTTTAAAAAAGAAGCATGTATAATAAAAGTTTTCATACAAGTAGTTGCCAACCATTATGCTGACAAAGAATATATGGTTTAGGAATGGTAGATAACCTTGTCTCATTTAAACTTAATTTCTGTTCTAAAAGAACTCTTGTTGCATTTGGCACTTTGCACGGACATATTTCCAGTAGGGACGAGTTCTAAATGCTGAACAGTTTACAGTTTTTAAGTGGAGCAACGGAAGTTCATAACTGCAATACCGGAGGAGCTGCAGTCTGTATTACTAAAAACTAACAATGACAAATACAAATTTACAGCCTTTCGTCCACAAGTTCTATTTACTGATATTCGGTAGATTCCACTTTCGCTGGTGTCGCAGAAAGAAAAAAGGCAATGAAACCTCTTTAAAATCTGTTTTCACTCTATTGCGTATAGCACTAGGTGGAGGGCACAATGCAGTAAGATGGTTTAAAAGTGGTTTTTCATAGGACTATAAGTAAACAAATCAAAGCAGTTTCCCAATGCTTTCAAAATTCAAAAAGAATGATAGGGAATAATTTGTGAGCGAAACTCGAACTAAGAAATCTTTTCAGATGTCGTTAGATCCAACGCAATCTGTAAATGAGGTTTCGCAACCGAAAGCGTTACACATAACTGGCATGAGTTGTTGTTAGTCGGAGGAACAAGATCAGTACTGATAAAGTTTAGTTATTCTTCTTATGCAGGTTTAGATTTTTAAAAGTTTTCGGTATTACTGCTTTGAAGCAAGACTATTTTCCATTTGCCTTTTACTTCATCAACAAGATAATTTTTTCTTGAGGTAATTTTTCTTTAATGTTTTTATCAGATCACCGCTATATCAATCTCTAACAATTTCTAATGCTTATCATTTTCTTCCTAAGTATTTGAGAATCTTGTGCTAAGCTGCTATGTTAGCCCTTATGTAGTTTTCCAAGACAGTTCTACCAATGAGTTGCGGTGTATTGAGTAACACACGCGGTCTGCAACTGTACGCTGTAGTTCGCCTCAATAAGGTTTTCCGAAAAATGCATATGCAGTAATCAAAAGTACCTTCTAATTTTTTCTCAATTTCTTCCAGCAGAAATACCCTGATTACAGATTGAAATTTTGTCTTCCATGTCTTCTCGTATGAAAGTAAATTGCGAAGGTAACTCATTTGAATGCCGCTAAATGGTCAGGAATTACAGAAAAGCAGGAGGCCAAGAAGGAAACCCAGCATAAGATTTAAGTCAACTGCATACAGTTGGAAAACCTGTATTTTGCTCGTCACCACATATTGCAGCCTTTTGAAATCGCATAAGGATTAAGACTGCGGATTAGCATTAGAAATTATAGAAATTGGGAAGTAGTGAATGGTCAGATTTGGAATTTATGAAAAAAAAGTAAAACAGAGGTAGAAACCTTTGATACAAGAACTGATTAAAAATTGAGTAACAAATAAAATTTAATTTTTGGTAGGGCCTGCTTAATAGCAATGCTTCCAAAATTGAAAACTTTTACCGTTTTTCCAAACTCTTTAAATGAAGCATAATATCTTCAAGTTTTTGCTCATTAAGTTTATCCTAATACGTTAATCAAAGTGGCACTTGTCAGTAAATCTCTCGGATAAGATTTTGGAAAGGACAAGTGCGTTTTTTTAGTGTTTCTCCTATACGAAGCTGGTAAGCTACTAGTTAAAGGCAATGACTTTACAATTAAAGAATTTGAAGTTTTGTAAAATTCCTTAAAGAATTATTGTCTCTCTCGTCCCTCCATGTACTGCAGTATTTTTGCTTTAATTCATTTTTTTCTGCCCCTTCGGCTCTTCCAAATAATCGCAAGTAAATGCCACTCTGAACAATGAACACGGTCAAAACCTTCAACTTTCCAGCTTAAATTCACACTAAACAGCAAGATCTGGAGATAGCTACTTTGTGCTCTTCACTGTATAGCTGCACTCAATAATGAGAAACCAGAAAATTTGATCGTTTTTAAATTTTATTTTTTTTGTTTCTATCTTCTATAGTATCTCCTCTTGACCGTCTACCTTCAATAGGTAAGAACAACTTAAGGGAAGAAGTAAATCATAATGACATATGGAAGGGCTGGAGAGGATATGTAAGAGGAGAAAGGCAGGTAAGATACCTTTTAGTCAATTTAAACTTCTACAATTTTGTTCTTTGAGAAAACTATAAAAATAACAAAAGTTTCTCATCACGTACATTATGGGTGAAAAAATAAGCATTACTGACTTCTCAAAAAGTATTTTATTTAAAAAGCTTTTCTACTTCAATTTTAAAATATTTGTATTAAGGGCCAAGAGGGTTTTCAAATGAAAGTGAAAGAAATTCAGTTCTAAGGACATATTATTTCAGGCCGTTCATCTGTTTGGAAGCCAAAAGCGAAATTGTTTGCATCACTAGAAATGGATGTCGACTACTGTCTTCACATTTCAATTAACAGCTCATCTGCCGACAAAAACGCAACAGTAGGGTATTCGTGTGCCTCTTTTTACCTCCATTCTAACTTGGTCCATAAACAGAAGCGGATTTCTAACTGTTGCTCAAAAAAAGTTATGAACTGATTTCAGTTACAAATTTTTATCCAAAGCGAAAGAGGCAATACATGGTTGTCAATCTCGTAATAGTTCTGACTTTCCAGTAATCTGAAAACCCGCAAATCTAAATATCAAAGGAAGACTTTGTCCAGAAGAACCCACTATTTAGCCGATGAAGGCTATTGCAGAACTGCAAGCGCATCAAACATTTTGGGTCAGCAAGTGCAAGCGATTGTCGTTGTTCCGCCTTTCCTCTCTTGTTTGACTTCCGTAAATGTAGGCTGATGTGATACCGTGATTTACGAGCCCACGTCGTGTTTTGGAATTTTCGAAACGATCCTAACAACTGATTTTGAACTGCGATCAACGGGAGGAGGTTTGAGAAAAGGATATTCGGCTTTTACTGATTCATCTCGATGGTGCACACATCAAAAACCGTCATTGTGCAGTTTACCTATTAATGAGAAACTCTCCAAACGTTTTATG